CTTAAATATTACCTCGGTTGTATTTTTAAATACTCTATACAAATGCAATAATTTCACATGTAATTTTTACATGCAGAATACAAAAGTATATATCGACGGCGAAGACGAAAACCGAATAATCGACGGATTAATTATTTACCCGGTCCTACGTTTTTTCATGCGAGTTGCCTTGGCCACCTAGCGGCGCGGCAGCGAACCAGTGTTCGCTCGGATACTCCGAGTCTGGTTAGGGACTCTTGTCACAGATTTCAGCAATATATCAGAAAGTTTTATTTATTATATTGCCCTGAAATATTGTGCAATATTTGACATAAAGACATCAACAACATTGCTGTCGCATTGAAATATTGGAATATTGTTGTAATGTTTTCGAAATATAGTGTGCTGTGTGGGCTGTCTACAGCTGTCCCTAATCTATGTATACGTTTACAAAAAAAAGTTTTTGGTTACATTACAAATCTTCAGACTAAAGTTGGACATCATTTAAAGCATGATTCTTCTTTTGCAAGCAGTGCTTTAAAAAGGTGAGTGATCACGATTTTTTTTAGTTTAACTTATTTAAAAGTATCAATTAACAAGTTTTATTTGACTTTAGAAAATTCATAAGTGATTGTTTAGAAAACCATCCAATAAAAAAATTGTGTTTAATCATTAATGAAACTAACGAGGCAACTGTAAATAAAAATGTAGCTGATGAAAGGGATCGTGACCGCTCCTTAATTAATTTAAAAAGGTAAATGTTACTAATGTTTTAAACCAAATTAAGTATATTGACTGGAAAAATTAAAAGTGTCAACTTGTATTTATAGAAAGTGCTTGGATAACAATTTATCAGAAGTCCATCCAACTAAAAAAGCTTGTTTGATAAATACTGAAAACTACGAACCATTCCAAAATTACAGTGTTGTGATTGAGAAAAATCATGATGTGCTATCATCGAGAAAAATACTCGAAACAGATCATGACTACTGTACAAAAAGGTAGCTATCATCATCATATTATAAAAATCGCTACAAAGTTAACTTGCTTAAACTGTATTTATCATTCCATTGAATATTTTATTATTTAATGTTTATTTTATATTATTTATTATAAAGCTTTAATATTATTTTTCATAGCATAAAGCTTACTCTGTGTGAAAACAATAGCTTTCAAAATTTTTTGCCAATTATGGTCATTTTTACATTTATTTCTAGTAACAGTTCAGTTTCTAATAATGTGGACACAAGTTCAAAAGAAAAATTTGTCTGGAAAGATGGACAAGAAAATAAAATGTTTACAAGGCAAAATTTTACATCCGACGAAGCTTGGAATAATTTTTTAAGATTTACAATAAAGAATAGGAAAGAACATGCATCTTTGCGAAAAAAATGTAAAAGAAGAGAAAACAGGATTAACAGCTTGAAAGATGTTATAAAAGCTTTAAAAGAAAAGGAAGAGCAAGATGCAGCTGCATATTTAGAGGTTCTTGCTCATTTTGTTTATTGTTAATTTTTTAAAATCATAATTTATCTTGATTATTTTATCAATCTCAACTTATGATATATTTCAATAGTTATTAATTCACCATTACATAAGATAATGGTGTTAATCAATTTTATTTTCAATTAAGTAATTATGTACGTCGATTACTTTTTACTACATATTACATGTAATAGAATAATTTTTAATTTAATTAACTTTCTGATATATCGACACAAAATAATATTTCGTAAAAGACGTATAAGTTCATTTATAAATAGCTTACAACTTTTGATATTGAGTGAAATTTTTTAACTCAATTTCGATGTAAGATAGTCGAAAATGTAAGTAGAAAGTGTAAGTAGAAATTATTTCTCGCATGAAAAATAAGAAAGCCACGAGTCCTTTTCCCGAGAAATTAAAATCTTTTGCAAGAGGACTACGTTATCATTCTGCTGCTGCTTACGAAATGGTAAGATCAACTTTCCTCAACTGCTTGCCAACTGCAGAGTCGCTAAATCGATGGGAAACTCCGAAAAATTATAACCCAGGAATAAATGAAGAAATCATTGAAAACATATTTGCATTTGTTAATAGTGAAGAAAAAAAAGGTAAAAACTTTAAATTTAATTTGACATTTGATGAAATGGGTATCAAGCGGTGGGCTTACTATTATAAAGCATCGAAAGAATGGAAAGGACTAGTGGATTTGGGAGGGCAATTGGATAACAAAAAAGTAGTAGATAAGGACGGAAATCCTATTAAAGCTAGCAAAGCTTTAGTTTTTATGCTTGTCAGTATAAATGGTAATATTAAAGCTCCCGTTGCGTATTATTTAAGCAATTCTTTAAGTGGTGAAGAAAAAAGTATACTTTTAAAAGAATTATTGATTAAGTTGAACAAAAAAAAATCGATGTATCAAGTGTTACATTTGACGGTGACGAGACTAATCAAAAAGCGTGTAAAATTCTAGGGTCCAAATTTAATTACAGTGATAAAAAAAATTTTCAACCTTGGTTTCCTCATCCATCAACATCCACGCCTGTATATGCTTTTTTTGATTCATGTCACATGCTTAAATTAGTAAGACACTACTTTGCATTAAAAGGCCCACTTTACAGAAATTCGAATTCTATAGAATGGAAGTATATGGTTAAATTAAATGAAAGGCAATACAAAGAAGGCCTGCATTGTGCTTGTAACATAAAAAATCGGTATATTTATTTTCAAAATGAGAAAATGAAAGTTTTTCTTGCTCAACAAGTATTAAGTTCTAGTACATCGAAAGCTTTAAATTATTTAGAAAAAGAGGTAAAAGATGTAGACTTTGAAGAGGCTGCTGAAACTGCAGATTTTTGTTTGAAATTTAATGATATTAGTGATTTATTAAATGTAAAAAATAAATTTTGTAAAACACCGGGAAGATGTGCAGTTACAGAAAAAACGTTGGGAGATTTAAAAAAAAAAGTTGATGAACATGTTGCTTACATCGAAAGTTTGGGAATTAATGTTGAAGTTAAGGATAAAAAAGAAAATAATAAGAATAAACTTTCGGTGAAGAACGTAAATAAAAGCGACTGTACAGTTTTGTAAAATAAAAAAATTTCTGATCCGATTGAGATAAATTTAAATGAAAATGAATATTGTGATAATAATAGTGATCTTCAACTACTTTTCGATGAAAATTCATTCGCAGACAGCAAAACTTCAGAAGATTGTAGTCTAAAAACTGAATTAGACAAGAATGTCTGTACTGAGACTGACGTAATCAAAGAAAATTGTGATAGTAGCGACGTATTAATAGAAAATAAAAGTAATTGTAGTAGTGGTGAACTCACTATTAATGTTATAAGAAAGAAAGTTATTGAAGTATCAACTGTTCGAACCGGTTTTGTTGGCTTTATTATAGATTTAAAAAATTTGTATTCATTGAGTGAAATGTTATTGAAAGAAAAAATATGCAATTATGTTTTATCATACAAACTCTCGCAGGACCATGTTGAAATGTTTTTTGCATTGATTCGACGAAGGAATGGGTTTTCTAATAATCCTACAACTATACAATTCAGGTCTGCGTATAAAAAATTACTATTAAATAGCATAGATGTTTTAGTATCTCGTTCTGCTAATTGTCAGCCTTAAGATGATACCTTGTTGATTTCCGATACTACTGATGTAAATAGTATTAATGAAACTTCAGTTAAGCAAAAAGAAAATTTTGAGAAAACAGCAAACGCTACGAACAAGAAGAAAAGGGTGAGAGCTAAAAAAGAACAAGGTATTTGCAAATTTGAAATAAAGGATTTCTTTCATATCAATCATAACATCAATGACTTATCTAAAAGTGAAGCATGGATGGAATCTGAATATTTAGATGACATAATTAAACATACGGCTGGTTTTGTTATACGATCAGTAAAAAAGTAAAATTCATTGTGAAAAATGTTTGGAAATGTTAAATGGCCCTACAACATGTAAATCGAAGTTGACTCTTTTAAAAAATAGAGGAGGATTAATCTATGCTTCCGATAATGTCAATTTGATCTGTAGATGTACTGAAAAAGTGATACGTGGTTTCAAAAGCTGTATGTTTACCAAAGATGTTAACCAAAAAATTGTTACTGAAACGCTGAAAATTATACCGCCATCAGTTTTAGATTACAATAATCATTCTCTTGATCAAGAGCTTTTGAATGACCATCGTCATAAAGTTATTTACCTGATTGTACAAACTTATATAGATACTCGTTTGAAACATGAAAGTGATAAACTAGCTGATATAAAATTTCGTACTCGTATGCATTACAATAATATAACTATTTTTAAGGGCCAGTAAATAGAATTTACAGCGTAATTTTATGATGCGTTTACCATAAAACATATTTGCGTAGCGAAATGTTTATCTGTTACCAATTATTTATTAAATTACTATTTATAATGTTGAAAGTTAAAAACATTTTTTATAGCTATATTATTTATTGTACTTTGTTTTTAAAAATTCCAATTTTTAGAAAATACAATACAAATCTAATGTTTGATTTAAAATTTAGTTTCATTCCTTTATAAATAATTATATAGTCAATCTCTACTTTCATTCGTTTTTGTATTTCACGCAACTTCAAAAAATTAATGAATGTTTTTTATGTAAAAGATCATTTTATATTTTAATTCAAGTTAATAAATGAATTTATCGGTCAAATTTATTTTCAATGTGTATTTATTACTTTTTGATAAATATAAATGTTTATAATACTTTGAAAAATAAAAAGTCTTCAATTGTAAAACATTTAAACTATATTCTTTTATTCGTAACAATCGTAAACTGTTTATGCTACTATCTCGGTGCATTGTGTATGCGTGTAGTTAGAGAAAGACAGCAAGCACCCTGATTTGCATCTATCTCTCTCTTCGCCGCTGCCGCGTTGAGAGCTGGCTTGTCTGCTCATCTGTATTAACTCTATGGTCTGTACACCCATACTTTTGATCCAAACACTCTCATATTGGACAAATTCACCTTACGTAAATATGCTTCAGCTGATATTCCATCATTCAATGCTGATGTGGGTGATCGATTTAGCTGATAAGCTGCACATCTGACTGCCTCACCCCACAAATGTTTGGGTAGATTTGTTTCAACAAACAAAGTTCTTGCTTTACTTAGCAAAGTATAATTTGCTCTTTCACTAACACCATTTTGTTGCTGCGTGTATGGAACAGTATGTGAAACCTTGACTTTTTAACACTCTTATATGGTCCATTAAATTCTTTCTGCTTCACTTTTATTCTTCAATAAATACACTGCTGTGAAGTGACTGTAATCATCTATCACTACTTGATAGTATTTCTCTCCATTTTGTGTAGGCGGATTTACAGGACCTGCAATGTCTGTATGTAAGAGTTCTCCTATTCGACTAGATCTTGGAAGTTCTACGTTCTTGAATGGTAGTCTCTTAGCTTTACCTAGCTTACACAGATTACACATTTCACTAGACACTGGTAGATTCAATTTCTTTAAACTATCTTCATTTAAATGTCCTAATCTCTTATGCCATGTGTCTGACGTATCTGCTACATTGCACTCTATCTTCTTGGTAATGCAAAGTCTGCAACATATAGTCTTCCAACTGTCTCACATTTAATAGAAAAATTTTTCTCTTTATTTACAATCCTAGCGTTTTCACTTGTAAATATTACTGAATGTCCTTGACTGTTCAACTGTCTAACAGATAATAAATTAAAACTTAACTTTGGTACCACTAGCACTTTAATACTAACTTCTCTACCACTGTTTATATCTGTTACTTTAACTAATCCATTTTCTCTTGCAATCATTTTATCACCATTTGCTACACAAATATCAACTTGATTTTCCAACTTTTCAATATTCGACATAACCTGTTACATATTTTCACTCACTAAGTGATCTGTTGCATCACTATCAAGAATAAACCTAACCTTATTCTTTGTATTTTCTGTGAGTAATGCGTGTTGCTTTTCTGCTGCAACAAAACTTAAATCTTCGTTGTTGCTTGATTGCATGTGATGAGCGTCACTGCTCGCTTGCTCGTTGTTACCAGGGGGGTAACACTCCAAATGGGCAATAGTGGGTGCTTTCCATTTACATGACTTTTGTGTCGACTTGTGTCAACTCGTGTCGACTCTCGAAAAGGAATAAATGGGGGTAAACTGCAGTATACGACCCCGAACTGAAGTTGCCTGCTAGCGACTTAGATTTTTAACATAGCGCCATCTATCAAATGTAATGTGAATTGCATAGAATAGTGGCGCCTCCTGATCGGAAAAAAGCGCAACTATCTTTAAAAATTTGAACTGAATATATTTTTACTGTTATCATATATATTACCTTGCTATAAAAATATATTTTCACAAAATATGATCTAGTAATCGCAATATTCCATGTTTGGAGATTTTTCTCGTTAAATTTTCGTGCTACGCCACACAGGTTTGCACCTATTATGTATAGATATATTTTGATATGAAGATATTATTACATATTTTTATATTAAATATGTGTATATTTAATTTATAAATAATATTATTTAAAAATATAAGTATGTATAAATGCAAGCTTTTGATTGTACATTGAGCATTAAATTTAATCTACTGCTGCGAGATTTTTTTGCTACAATGTACCGTCTGCTTTCGTAAAGCATGTAGAAGCATGATTTTTGTTAGTAGCTCGCAAAACGTGTAACACAAGTGTGCAATTATTTCTTTTGCATAAATTGGATTGTGTGTGACCGATTGCAATGGTTATACGGTTCGTAGATTTGTTCAAACTAGGTGAGAAACCTTCTATTGAGAATTACCTTTGTACAAAGATACGGACTCATAGCTCGGACTTTCAAGTGTCCAGTGTGCGATAAG